CCTGTCATACACTGCAACCCCCTGTCCTGAGCCTCACATCCCCAAACTACCTTCCCCCCACACCCTGCCCCCTGCCCTTCTCCCCTGCCCCACTGAACCTTCTCCCCACACCCTGCCGCCTGCCCTGCAGTGCACAAGGCCCCCTGCACAGCGTGCACATGGCGCAGGGAGGACAGTGAGGAAGGCCTATGGACCGAAAAGCGGCCCTTTTCCTGTAACATCATCAATGCAGCCAAGAGAGAGAACCCGAAAGAGGATCCCTAAGCCGGACCCCCCAGGGGTGCCCCCTGCTCCGCTCGCCTGGCCAGCAAACCGGTTCCAGATACCAGCAGCATGAGCCGCAGCATGACTCCTCCTCGCGTCCGGGGCTCAGCCGGGCTGTGAGTGTGATTGTGAACAGTGCGAGAGCCTCCGCTTCCCCCTCCTTCCAGAGTCGGTTAAGGCAATGAAAGCCATTTGCACGTTACCCCGTGGTCCCAAGCCTTGTTCGGCCAAGGTTCCTTGCACGCTTGCAACGGGGGTGACATTCCAGGGCCTGTGTCATTCAGCAGCTCAACCCGTGCTCCTGTGCGGCCTTAACGTCTGTGAATCTCCGGGTTCGCTTTTTTTGGAGGGGAGGGGGAGTCTGTGCTGCCCCAGCTACGTCCTTGTGGGGTGTGTCTCCAGGTCCAGCAGGTCTGTGATGGCAGAGTCAAACCCACTCACTGTTCTGGTGTTGGGTGCGGGGAGAAGGGCCGTGCCGTCCCGGTGCTGTCCCCTGAGGAGACGTTCTCAGGCCCTCTATGTTGGCTCCAATTGGTGCTCACTTTGCCAATCAGGAAATTGAGGAGGAAAGGAACTGACCGGAGGTGATACAGCAAGTCAGTGGCAGAGCTACGACAGCAAGGGGGAGGGATAGCTCAGTGGTTTGAGCATTGGCCTGCTAAACCCAGGGTTGTGAGTTCAATCCTTGTGGAGGTCATTTAGGGATTTGGGGCAAAAATTTGTCAGGGATGGTACTTGGTCCTGCTGTGAAGGCAGGGGACTGGACTAGATGACCTTGAAAAGTCCCTTCCAGTTCTAGGAGATAGGCAATCTCCATTATTAAAAACAACCCCTCTTTCCCAGCCTGCAGTAAAGTGCATCTCCTGGTAGCCTGTGGCATGGCCCTAGCTCAAATGTGGCTTGTCACAGAGGCATGGCACACATGGCTCTCTCTCAGGGGATTTCAAAGGGCCCTCCCTTCCCTTGTTCTTCCCCTTCAAATGAGAACAAGACCCCTTTGGCCTAGGAGCCTTGTGTCAGTCCTGGGATGCAAGTGAGAGAGGGTGGGGGAGGAAAAATATCTTCTGGTGCACCCATTCTGTTGGCAAGTGAGAGAAATGTTCAAGCTAGCCCAGGGCAGGGCCATCATTACAGCAGCCCTACGGTTCTGATGAAAACCCAACGTTCATTGCCATGTCCAAAGGCATTTTCTGATGCCTCCTTTAGCATTGCAGGGAGCTTCGTCGGCACCATCGAGAACACAAATTGATCACCCGTTTCAGCATCTCCTTTGTGGTCACCCCATAAATGATGGGGTTTAACATGGGGGGAACGAGCACGTGGCTGTTGGCCAGTAAATTGAAAATATATCCCGGGACGATGTTCCGAAACTCCTCTGTGCAGTAGGAGATAAAAGTTGACGAGTAGAACATCAGGATGACACAGACGTGGGAGCCGCAGGTGCGCAGGGCCTTGAGCCGGGCGTCTTTGGAGGGGAGTCGGAAGACGGCCCAGAGAATCAGCACGTAAGATACAGCAATGAGCACGGCGTCCAAACCAAATGCGAAAGTGGCTATGGCAACGCCGTACCAGAAGTTGACTGTGATGTCGTTGCAGGCCAGCTGGGCGATGGCCCATTCCTGGCAGTAGGTGTGAGGCAGGAGGTTGGTTCTGCAGAATTTCAGGCGTTTCAGGAGAAAGACGTAAGGAAAAAAGACGCCGACGCTCCTTGTGAGAACCGCCAGCCCGATCTTCCCGACCACAGGCTTGGTGAGCAGGGTGGTGTATCTCAGGGGGTTGCAGATGGCAACGTACCGATCAAATGCCATGGCCAGCAGGATGCCCGACTCAGAAGTGAAACTGACGTAGATGAAGAACATCTGGGTGAGGCAGGCAGCAAAAGAAATTTCCCCTGCTCTGAACCAGAAAAGAGCCAGCATCTTGGGCACTGAACTGGTGGACAACAGCAGATCAGCAGTGACCAGCATGGAGAGGAAAAGGTACATGGGCTCATGGAGGCTTCGTTCTGTCGCTATGATGAACAGGAGGAGAGAGTTCCCCAGAAGCGCCGCAACGTACATCAGACAGAAGGGGATGGCGAGCCAGAAGTCAGACTCCTCCGTTCCAGGAAAGCCGATCAGGATGAAGGTGACAGGATCAAAAACGCTGTGATTGTCGGCTGGCATCACATACCATCCCTTGGAGCCTCTGCTCAGCTTCCAGGAACTAACAGGAAAAGGAAAATATTTCAGTGGGAACCAGAGTGTGAGCAAGGACTATGCAGGGGGTGATGATGGATTCCTCTGGGGGGTCTCGTGGGAAATGAAGGGACCCTGCAGCCAGCCTCCCCTCACACTGTGGTGCTCCCATCAAGGGGAGATGGGGGGGGGGGAGCTCTGGCCCTGGGGTAAGCAGGGGGCTCTCCTGGTGTTGGTGTCACAGCAGAATCTCCAGCTGCTCCTTGCACCCAAATCAGCCGCTACTCTGACATGCTGCACTGGGTGCAAGAGCCTGGATGGTCCCTCTCCTCCCCCACCACTGCTGGGTTAGTGCCCTCTGGGAGCTCCTGCCTTTGTTGCTCCAAAACCTCCCACAACTCCCATGAGGCACTTCTGTTCGCTCGCTCGGGGCTCGGGTGCTGACTCTGAGAGTCCGTTAAAGCAGCCCACAGCAAGAAGTATCAGTCAAACAGAGATCTGGAGCCGTGCCGCTCCCAATGAGGCCTCTATATAGAAATGTTTGGGAGGGGTTTCCTCCAGAGCACCATCCTTCCATATTCTAGGGCACCCTTCCAACTGGCTGTCACCTCCTGGGGAGTTTCCCCAGGGCCGGGAACAGGAGCAGCTACGTCTGTTCCACTGGTTGGGCTGCTTTGCGCTACACCAATAGCTGACACAGATCCACGTGTTTCATAGGGACGCTGCCTTCTGCACTGAGCAGTGACCGATTTATCCCGTGTTGCTGGGTCAGGATGGGGTATTGGTACCCAGATACTTACTCAGTTAAGACTCATTCTCACGAGGAAGTCTCCCACATTAGTAGTTACCGTGCTATACATATTTTTAACACTTTGATTATTCCTTGTCTTTGTGTTCTTGTGCTGCCCTCTGTTTGTTAATTTTTACCTGCATGTTGGTTAAAGATTTGGGCAGCTTTTAAATATTCCCAGCAATAAAAAAAAAAACCAGTGCAGCAATTATGCAGGAATAATAGTAGCCACGTTTAAATCAACTGACACTTAGCAAGAATTAGTAACACTGGTCTTACCGAGCTTTTTGTAGAATTAATTTGCTTGTCATACCAATTACATTTGAACTGTTTAGAAGCATGAACTTTAACACCAACTATTACCCATTAACATAACAAAAAAAGGGTATAACAATTAAACCAAAATGCATTTGAAATGCAGGTTTGTGAACACAACTGAAGATTATTAAATGTATTTGCCACTTTGTTGCATTTGGGAACAGACTCTGCATTTTCCTCATGAATGGCCGAGAAGATTTTCAAGAAAGTTGGCTGTAAAACTAGCTGCTGCATACCAGAAGGGCTAAAATTATTCATTTACAGGGTTTATTGAATGTCATTTTTTCCTCTGCATTTCTCTTTGGTTCTTGCTTTGTTCTGATTGCTATTTTATCTTTTGGAGATTTCTGCAAAAACTGCAAATTGTAACTTTAAAAGAGCTAGAGGAAGAGAGAGAGAAAGAGAGAGAGAGAGACAAAAAATGAGTAGAGGTGGGTGAAAAGCCACACAGGATGGTAGCCCGACAAGAGGCAAGCGAGATTAACTCCAGGCACTTATCTTCAGGAACAGGCAGCAACAGCAAGTTGAGCAAACTGAGAAAGGTGATAAAGGAAACTCGAACTGGTCTGTAGCAATATTTGCCACAGAAGGTTATTCAAGGAGCTGTGAGTGCAGCGTGGGGTGAAAGCGGCCAGGATTTCCCCCACATCCTGGGGATTTTACCCTAGCTCTGAGAGGGGACCAGGGGCTCTTACAGAACCTGAATTTCCCCTCTCCCCCATGTGTGTTGTGGTGGTGTGAGTGCCCTATGGATGGGGCAGGGAGGGGCTTAGCTGCAATTAATGGATATTGGGCAATTCCATGTGTTAACGCAGCAATACTGGGTGTGAACCAGCTTAATTTTGTTTTTTCATTTTGAAATTCTTTTTTATTCTCTCCCCCGGACACTGAGTCACTGATCCTGCCTCCTGCTGTGGTCTGGGGACAGTTCTGTTTTCCATCCTCAGATTTAGCAGTTCAGTGCAGTGCGATTTGACACGTTTTCCTTCTGTGCCCTTACCTGTCCCGTGATGACAGGCAGCCAGGCAGGTCCACATGTAGGTTTAACCAGAACCTGGCTTTTACCGTCTGGTGATGGTTTCACGGCAGGGCAGCCAGAATCAACTCTGAGATTTGCCAGGGCCACTTTTCCCGTTGCTCCCCCAATTCCCCAGGCACAGGGTGGCTCCCTGCACCCGGCTCTTGCCCACAAACATTTCTAACGGGAGGGATCATCGATTTTCTGTCGCTTCTGACAGCTCTTTCTGAGCTTCAGTTGTGTCCGGGTGCTTGGTGTCTGCAAGGGGAACAGGAGCATTGCAGGGCCCTGTGCCTGATTCTGTTCCTTTTAACCCTTTCTTTGATCCTATCCCTGGCCCTGCCGTTTCTCTGGCATGTCGTGTTAACCATTTCACACCAGGGATGTCGTTTGCAATACTCTCTATTACAAAGCAACATTCACTACCCCAGCCTTACAGATTCCATGATATGATGCTTCCCCGCTAT